GTTATCATCCCATTTTATAGGAACTGTGGCTCAGCACTTTCAGTGATTTGCTCAGGTCTGTTCAGCTAAAACGGTGGCAGCACAGGGTTCTAACCCAGCTCTGTTGTAGAGCACACTCTTCTGAATGCACCACATTGACTCAAGAGGTGGCAGGTCTGGCAGGCACCTTATCCCATGGGCTCTTAACACAATCTGTTGCATCTGTCACGTTCTGATTCTGAGATGATTGGGTGCAGGAGGAGGTGCTTATATTGCTGGAGAGTTTCAGTCAGTAATTCTGGACTCAATGCAGTCTGCTTGAGTACAGAGGACAGGACACACGATTTCAGGACTGAAGTCAAGATGGAAAGTCTTTCTGGGGTTCCTTTACTTCAAGACCTTTATATTAGGGCTCCTCGATATTGACACTATTGATTTTTTGGACTGGATAATTCTTTGATATGTGCATGTGTGTGTGTAGGAGGGCTGTTTTTAGGATGTTTAGAAGCAATGCTGGCATCTCTACCCATTAGACTCCAATAGCAATCTTCCCCCAAATGTGAAAACGAAAAATGTCTGCAGACATTGCCAAATGTCCTTTGTGTGTGTGTGTGTGTGTGTGTGTGTGTGTATGCAAAAATGTGCCCAGTTAAGAACCTCTGCTTTACATCCAAATGATAAAACTAGAATTAAAAGTAATTAAAATTTTGATTAAATTCCAATTAAATTAAATTAAAAGTTAATCTAATAAATTAAAATTCTAATTTTAAAAATTAGAATTAAAAATAATGTTACCACATATTTGAACTCTAATTTAATCCTCTTGTTTTGTTATATGATAATCATCCATTCTTTAAACAACAATAATTGATCAGCTATTATATGCTGGGCACTTTGCTAGCCCAGTTGGAGATGAGTAGTATGAAGATAAATAAGACCAGTCCGATTTTCAATAGATGGTGTGATTTATACTTCTGCATCCACTAAGGAGCTAGGAAAAATAGACAAAACCTAGAGTTGAAGTTCTTTATGTGGACACAAAAAGATTGAGGGTTTTTAAAATTATATCCAAATACAGCAAAGAATTTTAAGCATGATTTGATACTGGAAAGAAAATAATGCAGTTAGCTATTTATCCCTCCCTGTACCCAGGATCAACTCTGTCATCTTTATTCAGAGACATCTCAGAGACTAAAATATTTTCAAATAAACCCACTGGTCTCCAGGATTCAGAGATTGGTGATGCTGAATCTAGAAAGAACATTAGCCCTATCTAAACCTTGGGGCTGAGACCTGCTGGGAAAGATGGTATGGTGAATCAGAAAGTCTCTTACTCCTAGGAAGATAATGAACAAGATAAGAAGAGAGAGAGAACAGGAAAGAGTGCTAGAAGAAGAAGAAAAAGAAGGATGAATAGCCAGAGTCATTGTGATACAGCAGGAAGATTAGCAAATTTGAGCAAAGCTGAGGTTCAAGGTGTGAGACCCCGGGCCTACTGTGCATCAGATGTTACATCATCTCTAGAATGGGAGGAAGAATTATTGCGTTCAACACGGATTACTATAAAAATTAAATAACATGCCATGTTTCCTCTTATAGCATATTTTACCGGTTTTAAATCAACATACACATTTAATGTGCTTTTTGTTAGTCTCCTCCCAATTCTGCAACATACTATTAACATGGAAGGCCAAAGGGAGACTAGACTTTCTGGCTCAAAAATTGCAATTTGCCTAAACTTTACCTACTTATTTGGAGGTCGAGTCAGTTCAGGGAGATTTGGGGTAGGTGAGGAGGAGAGGAAGTGGGTCCTACTAGACAGGATTGTCTATATATTGACTAAAGGAAGGAATAAATGATCAATAGAGAAAGCTATTTCCAAGTAATCAATTAGCAGCATTTAAACAAATTAACAAAAGAAAAGTCATTATACAAAATTAGAGTCATTTAGCTTTAGGGGAGGAACCTTAGATGCCTGACTATGACAAAAAGACCTTGAGGTGGGCAGATTTCTGTTGGAGCACCCTCCTATTGTGTTAAGAGCCTCTGTATGGCGGATATTAGAACTTCCACTCTCACTGTACACCTTCTTTTCCTTGGTGAATGCCACTGGAAGTTTTATGTCTGCTGATATTATAAACGACTTGGATCTCTTACCTAGTTTTTCATTATTTGCTTATGATAACATATTTTAAGTAGGAATGCTCTGGAACTTCCTTGTTCTGGTTGGAGTCCAAGACCCATGGAACATTAAGTACCATATTTGATTACATTACCTTGCATGTAGCTACCACTTAATGAATATTGGTTGATCGAGAGGCTGATCCTACAGAACTTGAAGTAACGTCCCAAAGACAGCTAAGACTGCTCTTTTAAATCTAAGTTTCCTGTTATAATGCCTATTTTTGTTTAAGTACAAGGCACTATTTTTAACTACAAGATATTCAAATTTAATAGTTGAGCAAGCAAGGAAATAAGCCATTTTATCTCTATTTAACAGATGAAGAAACTCAAGTCTAGACAGTACAGTGTTTTGTTTAAGGTCAGATGGTGAGTAAATTTAGGCTAGGACTCTGTTTCCAGGAAATCATGAATTATTCAACTACAACCACTTTCTCAGCCTTATATCCAACAAACACTAGGCTAAAACATCCCCTATAGGACTGAAACGATTCCATAGGCGCTCTCTATCACAGTGCATGTTATTAATACCAGAGGAGAAATGGCTATATCTTATAAATTAGAAGTAAGTAGAGTAGCATCATTAGATATTTCAGTCAAGTTCAACAGCTGCCCTCAATCCTTCTTTTAAAATGCAAAGACTCAAAATAGACAGGCTAAGATTTATAAAAATAGATTTGTCTGTCACTTCTAATTTTACATTTTGCAAACAAGTTGTGCTTCAATGAAAATTTGCAGATAGATTGAGCATCTGGCAATAGGAAGATTGTCATGATTTCCGTGGTTTGGATTCAGACTTACAAAGGATAATTGGTAAAGATAATCTTTTGTTTGAACAGCCTGAGTGATTTTACCTCACTAACCCTGATGACAGATGGTGAGTCTAGTTATTATCAATTCATTTTTATGAGAGGAAAGAGACTGAAGAATCAAAATATTGAATCCCTCCATACTGCTGAAGCAATGAGTCATTGTGAAGTGAGTTCCAGCCTAGGTTGCAAGCCTTACCTTGTCACTAACTAGGTTTGTGACCCTGGATACATGTCTGAATAGCTGGAGTCATTTACTCAGCTGTCATAGCATAGAGAAGATTAGACCCTCCCTACTCAAAGTGTGGTCCATGTACCAGCAGAGTGGCATCACCTGGAAGCTTGTTAGAACTTAAGACTCTTAGGTCTCACCCCAGACATACAGAGTAAGGATGGGCATTTAAAATAGATCCCAGGTAATTCATGTGAACATTGCAGTTAGAGAATCCTTGGATTTGAGGTTCTTAAGCCTTCCTTTCAGTCAAAACACTCGAACATTCTGAGCAAAATGTTGGTGGTGACTGCCCTATAAGCCCTGATAGAGTACTTGGCATAGAGTGCATTATGGGATGAAGAAACAAAAGAAGAGAAAGTTATTCCTACCCAGCCAAACTTCAAAGACAAGTTATCTTGACCAACAGGACTTTGAAATCCCAGAAAACTCCTTCTGTAAGTCATACCACTTGTTTCCCAAACATAGAATCATGACAGCCCTGTATTCTCGTACCCATTTCTTTCTTTTGAACAAAATGATCTTATTTTCACACTAAAGAAATAGTTGCTCCTAACCTCTCTGCACCTACTGATTCCAAGTGGTACAAACAGCAAACCAATCTGTCCTTTTCCTTGAAGCTGCTCTCTTTCCCTCTCGCAGCCCACCCACTCAGACACCACATTACTGCCAGGCCATTTGCACCAGCTGCTCATTAAGTGTCAGTTGATGGGAGGACGGAGGACACCTGGTGACCGTGAAGTCAGCCCAATATACCGAAGGAAATCAGCAAAGTGGTAAAAAGGCACAAAATAAAACAGACCTTGGGAATCCAGAGGGTTGAATGTCAGAGGCAGGAGGGATGAGCGGAGCAGGTCGAGCTTCTGAGGCCCTGGGCAGTCTTTTAATTTCCTGACCTTTTGCTCTGTGAGTACTGCCCTGTGAAGGGAGAGAGATTCCTAAGGAATCTAGGGTACATACATTTTCTGCTGAACAGCTGCTTAGTGCAAAGCAAATGGTACATGGTGAGCCTGCTCTGGGTACCTGTTGGAGTGAAGATTGTTTTATTTCTGAAAGGGCACTTGTGTGTCCAAGCTGCTAGCTAGGTCATTGCTTCTAATTCTGCAAATCATCTGTACTCAGCTGTTTATCACTTCTAAAAGCAGATTCAGACTGAAAGACCCAGCTATAACCTGCAGAAACACGGTCAGAGGGCTGCTCTCTGGAACACTGGGCCTCAGAGAACCACATGAAGGGCCCCCTGCCAAAGATAGGACATATAATCCTAGACATACTCCAAGGAGCCTCAACGGTCAGTCAAACGTCTCCTCAGCCCAGACTGACTTAAAACCGACTGTCACATGTTTAGGTCATGGTTTCAGTTCTTAACAGAAAGTGACTATATTCTGTTTCACCTCAGCTGGCAACATGCAAGTTCATTCAAAGCATTACTGGTGGTGGACATGAGGATATTTTCGTCTTTGAACTTCAACAGCGTCACTTCAAAATTCATTGTAAATGGTTAATCAGAGCCATTTGTACAGAAGAACATTGTAGTGATGAAGAGAATAGTGTCTGGGATAGAATCCTGACTTCATAACCTACTTGTGCGACTATGGGCAAATTAATGTTCTGCTGCCTCAGTCACCTTATCTAGACAATGAGACGATAGTAACCTACCTCATAGGATTGTTGTAAAGACTACATGTACCATAGAAAGAAATAGAGTCTGGCATAGAGTTAACTGCTACAGAAGGGTTTGCTATTGTTATTGGAGAGGTAAGATTGTGCTGAAACTTTTCTCTCTTTTTTACCCACAGAAGATAGAAGCTAATTAAAGAAACTATTATGATCACCATTCTGCATGGATTCCAGGACAGAAGGAAAGGTAATAAACCTCTGTCTTTCCACTTCCTGCCAGGTCTTCTTTCCCATTACCTTATTATTTGACTCCTAGCTTCTGTCAGAGAATATAAGAAAAAAGAAATCTATGTAATGATTCTTTCCTATAGTGTCTTCCTTGTCAGTATCTGCTCCATCACTGGGAGATATTGATATATTGAAGGTTCCCTCAAGCTTGTTCAAACAGAGAATTAACTTTAATTCTCAGCTAGGAGAGCGGGCTTAGCTGGAGCCAAAGTGTCTTGCTCCCCTTAAACCTAAGTCCAGGCCTCACAGTGGGTTAAGTCTGCAGTCTGAAACTTAGATGCCACAGAGGCCAGACAGGTGAGCTGATGAGTGAAGCGCTGGCAGCCGCTCTTCTCTTCCGTGCTTTAGATAGAGATGTGGCTACAGCCATACATTGCTCTGCTCGTAGGCAAACAGTTCTGCGAGTGCAGTGACTAACAGCTGTTCACACCAGATCTCAGTTTGGGAGAAAATAACAAGTGGAGGGGCCTGTGGAGAACCGGCATCCATACCATCTAGAGAGGGTAGCTGTTACTCAGCTCAGGTGAGCCCAGTCTTACTCCATTTTCTGACGTTTAAAGAGAAGCCCCAAATCTGGATTTTTTTTAAGTTAAATCTCCAGATTTTTAAATATCAGCTGAAAATTTCAGAAGTCAGAACGTGGAGGAGGAAAAATAAAACAAATTTGCCTGTGAAATCTCGTCCATAGCCTTCAATGTTGGGTTAAGTTGCATGCATTTAGATCCATCTCTAATGCCAGCCAGTAAGTTAGGAAGAATCCTGCGTGTGCCTCCTAGAGGGCTAGGTGCTGTGAGGAGAGAGAAAAGTTTTTTATTCTTTTTCAGGAATTTGAGCCTCATGCATGAAGACTTTTTTCCTTTAACTTTTTATTTTGAAATAATTTCCTATCTACAGAAAAGTTGAAAAAGTAGTACAAAGATTTCCCACATACTACTCACCCAGATTCTCTGAATATGGGCAATACTACACCATACTTACTTTCTTGTTCTCTTTGTCTTGTTCTTTCTCTGTCTCTTTCTCTTTCTATGTATATGTGTGAAGTTGAAGAATCAGTGTCCTTTTACTTCTAAATGGTTTAATGTATTTCTTAAAAACAAGAATATCCTCTTACGTACCACAGTGTAATGTTCAAATCAGGAAATTAACTTTAATACAATTATCTGATCCATGAAGATTATTCAAATTTCATGCCTCAATTTCTTCAGAGCAAAAAAACCCAAACAATTTCAAGTCCAGGATCCAACTGAGTGTCACGTGTTGCATTCAGGGGTCATGCCCTTTAGTGACCCTTTTTGGCGGGGGTGGGGTAGGGTGAGGGAACATTTTGTCTTCTACAAGAAAAGACAAGTCTCTTTTGTCGTTTGTAACATTACCATTTTAGAAGAGTACAGGCCATTCCTCAATATTTTAGAAGAGGAACTATCTTTCAATTTGGGATTGTGTAATATTTCCTAATGATTAGATTCAGGTCATGCATTTTTACCAGGAACACCAAGAAGTGGTGTGTGTCCTTCTCAGTGTGAGAAAGACACCATGGGAATGTTTGAGGAAGACCATCAGTTTGCTTTGGGAAGAAAAGCATTTACTGTGCAAGTACTTGCCCTCCAAACTGGCATTTTGCTATTGTTTTTTGTTATTTTAGCCTTGTTATTAAAAGACCCTATTCAAATTATTTTCATCTATATATAGATTTCTTCTTTGCTCCTCTTCTCTCACCCCGCATTTATCTTCATGAAAAAATATCCAGACTCTTTGGATTCATTCGGTATTGAGATGACATGCAAACGTGTGAAGTCTGATGGCTTGGGAGCTGAAATGACAGCAAAATAAAGCAGACAGGACTCACTAGTGAATTTGATGATAAGAACCTCTCCCACGGCTTGGTCTCTCAGAAGCTTTAGTTATGAAGCAAGAAGCAGACCATGGATTAAATAGAGGATGGGGATGCCTAATTACACCATCCTTACTTTAATAGAAGAAATAATTCCTTGCACTTATAAAATTTTGAAAAATCCTCAAAGATCTATCATATTTACTATCTCCTTTTTGTAAGAGAAAATAGAATTCAGGCAAAGATTTTAAAATATTAGCACAAGATAATTCTGCGCTGGAACCTAGTTTTGTCCCTTAGGACGATCATTCTGTGGAAATGTTTTATGAACCCCAGAAGTTTGAGCAGGACCAGAGAGCAGTGGCACAGCACAGGCTTTTGAATTAGTAGGTCCTAGCTGGAGCCCCAGATTTACCATCCAATACTTGGGGAATCTTGGACAATTTGCTCTCTGGAGCTCAGTTTCCTCATTTGTAAAATGGAGGATTATCTTGCCAGACTCTTGTGAGCAATAACAAGATAAACAAAAGAAAAACATTTAACCCAGTGTACTTGGTAGATAGTACAGTTTAATAAATGTGGATTTTCTTCCATATTCTTTTTTATTGAGGCACCTTCAAGGGTTTACTAATTCACTCCTTCTTACAAAGTCCATTGGGAGGAATTTCAGTATCTAGTAATACTGAAAAAGATTTGGGAAGAAAGAGGCACATGATATTTTGAATAATTTCAACAACCCGACATGCTGGACATAAGCACACGATCCTTACAGTCCTAAAATCATGAAAGCTAATATCATTGACTGGGATTTTTACATGAATAAGAGTAGTTAAATCACAATATTTACAGAATTGATTTGGCAGTCATAGATGGGAAGCCTCTGGATCTTGGTTCTGTGTAGAAATTCCCTCTTGGTAATTTAAGCAGCCCACTACAATGGGAACTCAAGAATTACTATGACAAAGTCCTTCATACATCCAGAGGAGATTATCAGGGACTGAACCAGCATGGTCCTGTGTAGAGAAAATTGTTATTTTTAAGTTGTTCTGCCTCCCTGGTGTAGTGACAGTGTGTATGTAAGCCCTGAATCCAAGTTCAGTGGCATACATGTTCACTTTAGATTTTCGCAGGCACGTGATATCATAGTCCAGGTAAAGATGAAACAACCTTGAATTCTTATTTTCTAACCTCTATAGGAAGTTACCTAGTGTACAGATATTTCTGTTTTTCTTAGATTTGTAAGAAGATAAGTCATCAGAAATGGAGTGGGGTGGAGGGAAGTTACAGATTGGATCATTGGGTGCTTCTTTGTTGAGGAAAGAGAATGCTAGCTCATCATCCACTTTTTTTTTTAATATTGCTTATAAAAAGGATGGCAATATGACTTATCATCCAAACCAGGGCATTTTGAGAAAGAAAGAGTGTGCTATTAGTAATTATACTAAGAAAGAGTAAACTGAGACTGACCCAGGCAAACCATGGCATATGGTCACGCTATCCTGAAGACTCATGTCAGGAATTAAAATTACTCTGAAGGTTAGACTTGAGTGGAATGGTTAAGTAGATATACCTGTCAATGGGCAGTATTTCCTCTTACTGCCACCACCTTCTCCTTTCAGTGCCCATCTTTGCCAGGCTCTTTTTGTTTGTGAGGAAGATTAACCCTGAGCTAACATCTGCTGCCATTCCTCCTCTTTTTGCTGAGGAAGACTGGCCCTGACCTAACATCCATGCCCATCTTCCTCTACTTTATATGTGGGATGCCTACCACAGCATGGCTTACCAAGCAGTGCCATGTCTGCACCCAGGATCCGAACCGGTGAACCCGGGGCTGCCAAAGCAGAACGTGTGCACTTAACTGCTGCGTCACCAGGCTAGCCTCTGCCAGGCTCTTTAGGGTTCTCCATTGCTAGTACCTCACCATGATTCAGGCTTTAACTGATTTTTCCACAAGAACGGATGAAGCCAGTGCTCCCAATCTCATGACTCAATTCAGAGAACTGAAGATTTGTCTTACAAACTCCTTTATGATAAGATGCCTATTTCTGATGATCTTAGTGTGGTGGCCTTTTTGGACAAAGAAATTCATGGTCATAAGCAATGTTGGAAATCTGGACCTAAAATATTTGGAGAGTGGCTATTTTTGTTTCAGAGGGGAGTTTTTTTTTTTTTTTTCACCACTTGCGCAGAAGCCTTCTTCCCCTCCCTTTCACAATGTCTTTTACTTGTGAAGTGCAGACATTTACAGTCTTTTCATGTCCCTTCACTCAACTGTCCCTCCCCACAGAAGGAGCAGGTAGATTTTGTAGGGTGATTTAGTGACATAGCACAGGCTTCCCCTCTTAGAGATGAGTACAAATGAGATCTGGAGAAGCAAAGTGAGATGCCCAGTGTCGCAGCAAAAACTACTGTATACATAGGACAGAATTTGAGATGCTTGAATCCTGGTCTAGTGTATTTTTTCCCATGTAGCTTTTCTGAGCTAAATAAGTCTGGGTCCAGTGGATGGAGTAGGCACAGGCACTTCTGAATTAATAACAGGGATAATATAATAATAATAGCTAAGTCATACAGTGTTTATCATGTACAAGGCATTGTTCTAAGTTCCAACACATATTAACACACTTAACATTTTAATCACTATTAAAATTGAATCAATCTTTAAAATTTTTCCCTAATGATACATACAAAATTTAGATTTTTTTTTTCTTTCACGGAAAATAGAATTAATTGTTTTTAGCACATTAGCCCTGTTTTGTTTTATTTGCCTAGAAAGCTCTGGGTAGATTGTTTCCTCATGTAACTTAGTGCTTTTAGTTCTTTCATTGTATATTAGAGAAGTATTTTTCAGCATGCATCTTGCTGCTTTTGGTTCAAGGCTAAATGTGGCTTCTTTTTTTGCAATGTTTATTTCTGTGCTGAAGTGGTGTGGACTCATTTGATTAGGTAAGGTTTGTTGCTGGAGGCAATATTATGCAATTGCTTAAAATCTTACTCAGTTCAGATGGTTAACAGTCTTCAGTGGCATTTAACTCCTATTTTGTGTTCATTTGTATTCAAGTACGTCAAGACGGGAGTTAGCTAGCTTCCTGGGGTGACTTTCTGCCTGATATCATTGTTTAAGCTACATTTCAAATATAAGGGGGAAAAAAAGAAAAAGGAAAAGAAAAAACATATAGGACACATTATCATTCGTTATCCATTAAATGTTTAGGAAATGT